CCCAAACATCCAGGGATTCCCCAGCCCGGAGCTGGCAACCCTGTTGTAGAGGTAAGAGTCGACATCTGTGGTTAATGATTCCAACATACCGATTGGCCTGCTGAGAACAAAGGGGTCACATTACATTGTTTAATGCAAGGAAATCCTGCCTGCAACTGATGTTAAAATGAAAGAAGTAATTGTCAGATTGCTGTGACTGTTGTTTTTGAATGGCAGTTGCACCCCAGTTTTCATCTTGCAACAAGGCCTGCTGATTGCTAATCAGAGAGGATAGTGTGAAAGGCAGAGGGAAACACCCCATGTGGGGAAAGTGTCAAGAAATTTGTTTATTGAACGTTGTTGTGGGTAAGGTTGATTCAGAATGAAAGGATTCTTTAACATTTGTAATTCCGTGTGAATGTCTGCTTTAGCATCTGGGTTGAAGTATATGCCACTCTGAATGGAGCAATGCTTCTGTTTGCCTTATTCACTGAACATGTCGTGTCCTTTGCATTCTCAAAGATGCTGCTGTGCATGGAGGCCAGCAGGCCGCCTCCTTTTCTCCTCCTACCTTTGGAAGCTGCAACAGTGTACGCAGACAGAAAACCTGTATCTGGGCTGTTTTTATTCAGACTGCGGATGAGGACTTCTATGATAGAACGTCCCATGCAAAAAAGATTCCTCCTAAAAAACAAGTATGTCAGGAGGAAGCTGGACAGACTTCGGCTTTGGCATGCTAGTTGTGGGGCATTTTTTTTTTTTTTAAATGGAGAAGCTTTCGGTCATGCAGGTCTCCACTTGCAGTGTGAACTGCTGCAGTCCAAATGGAGGCTTTCTTACCACCTCTCTTCTAAGCACGAACCTTTATAGAGCCAGTTTGGTGTAGTGGTTGAGTGCGCAGACTCTAATCTGGGAGAACCGGGTTTGATTCCCCACTCCTCCACTTGCACCTGCTGATGTGACCTTGGGTCAGTCACAAGCTCTGGCACAGCTGTCCTTGAAAAAGAGCAGTTTGTGTCAGAGTTCTCTCAGCCCCACCCACCTCACAGGGTGTCTATTGTGGGGAGGGGAAGGGAAAGGAGTTTGTAAGCCGCTCTGAGACTCCGAGTGAAGGGCGGGGTATAAATCCAATCTCCTCCTCCTCCTCCTCCTCCTCCTTCTTCTTCTTGTGTTCAGGCTACAGAGAGTGTTTTGCTCACGACCCTCAGTGTAATACAATTAGGAGCATTATTGTGTGCTAATGAAGCAGCTGCTGCTCTGAAGTTTGAGTTACCAAACAGGCAGGAATGTAGCTGCAGAATGTAGCTATAAATGTGGCTGCAGGATGGCTTCAGTCTTTCCTTGCATTTTAGCTTTGCATAGCTGATAAAATCTGAAATATTCTAGTCATTTTTTTTCTTAGTGAGCACTGCAGCTGTTGCCGATACTACTTTCATGTCATCTGAATGAGTTGGGTTCAGAGCATGTCCAGCAGAGCGAAGCCCACAGAGCAAGAGCTCTTCACCTTGCCCATCTTGTTTCAGCTTCTGGCATTCTGCTCCGTGGGGGTCGAGGGAGGGGGCAGAATGGGGAGCTGCAGTGGGAGGGGAGACAAAATAATCACAGCTGTTATGCTTGTGGAATAAAAAGCAAAAGAAGAGATTGGATTTATATCCCACCCTTCACTACCCGAAGGAGTCTCAGAGTGGCTTACAATCTCCTTCCCCTTCTCCTGTAAGATAGGTGGGGGAGTCCACCCACAACCATTGGTCCCGAGTGCATTTGGACTTTGCCGGCCTCTTCCAAGGACGAATATTCTTTATTTTGGTGGACTCGTGCTGGTTTCCTCCACCACTTCCAGAATGGCAATCCGGGCCCTCAGACGAATCTTCAGCATGCATGGCCTACCCGACACGGTCGTGACGGACAACGGGACTACCTTCGGGGGAGTTCCAGGAGTTCTTGGGCCGCTATGTAATATGGCACATCTGCTCCGCTCCCTTTCACCCGGACACCAATGGGCAAGCGGAGTGGATGGTGTGGACCACGAAGGAGTCCCTCAGGCAGATCATCCAGGGGGACTGGGACCATAGGCTTGCAGCATTCCTTTTTAGCCACTGGGTGACCCTGAGTGTAACCACCAGCTGCAGCCCCGCTGAGCTCCTCATGGGGAGACGCCTAACTACTCGACTGGACAGAGACTGCACCTGGACCAAGCCCCAGAGCATTGCCCTTCACCAGAGAGCCAGGAAACGCCCAGAGGGTTTTTCCCAGGTGACCCCATCTGCGCACGGAACTTCTCCAGCGGTCCTGCCTGGGTTCCTGCCAAGGTCATCAGAGTCACTGGCTCCCCTCATACAAGGTCTCTACCAGTGGTGGACAGGTCCTGCACAGGCACATCGACCAGCTTCACCACCATCTCCTGCTGGAGGCAGCCGAACCAGCGCCAGCTGCTGCAGAGGCCAGCCACCCGGGACCACTACCACCACCGGAGCGCAGTGGGGAGGGGGGACGTGCCGCGCGCCAGGGACTGCTCTGACCACGCAGAGTCACCCGCACCCATGCAGACTCTGCTCCAGAGCCCGGGGACTCTGCTCCTGACTCGCCACCCTTGCCCGGGGCTGCTGCTGAGACCCCAGACGTATCCTTGCCCACTGCTGCTGCAAGAAGACAACATACAATTTAGGGGAAATGGTAACACAGGTCGCCTTTCCCCCCAAAATGGATCTGGCTCTGTGCTGATACCACCAACACAGTTGTGACAGGAAAGAATCAAAACAGGAGGGGTCATATGAACCAAAACGCCCACGGAGATGCCCGTGGGATGCGACTATAAAAGAGGGAGGGAGGAGCGGGCAGGCGGGCAACGCCACAAGGCTGGCTGAGGCCCACGTGGTGCAGAGACCCCAAAGTGTCCAGGGGCCGCGCAGACTGGGAGGGGATCGGCCAGGTGGGCTGGTGGGGAGCCCTGCGCAGCTGCAGAAGGTCTCCCTGGCTGATCGCCAGCCACACTGCCTGGGCCCCAGCCACACTGCCACGTTGCCTCCCCCCTCTTTTGCCCCCGTGGGCCTGCAAGCAGAGCCCAAGGTATGCCTGGGCCCCCCAGCATGTAACTATAAAGAATTTTGGCAGGTGAAGGGGAGTCTGATAGGTAGAATTTAAAATCAGTTCATCAACTCAGTTTTTCTACAAAAGTATATTTTACGTTAGCTTAGTTACTGAAGTATACTAGTGTGTACTTTTTATCATGACAACCGCTGTTCGTGGAGTGAGGGTGTGGCTATTTTTAGTGGTCTGAAGGGCTTTGTTTTGAAGCAAGGCCAGGACAGTAGGAAGACCGCCTGAACATTCTGCTTGCTGTTCTGTGGATTCATCATACGTGTTGCCAGACCGTGGGATGGAAAGTGCGGTAAATTTCCCACCAAATCAGGGTGACTTCACGGGGGGGGGGGGTTCGAGGCAAGAGACAGAGAGGGTGGCTTCCCATTGCCTGCCATTGCCTGCGAGACAGGACTCCCGTCCAAGTACAAGCCAAGGCCCATGCTGCTTGGCTTCAGAGATCTGGTAAGATCTGGGTAGCCGGGGCCATCCAGCCTGCATGTACCTATATTCTATATCCCCAAGACCTGCTGTGGAAGGCGGGTAGTTCAGCAGTTCGAGACCCGGGTCCCGTCTCTAGTTCCAGCTCCTGCCAACCTAGCAGTTCGAAAGCAAGAAATTGCAAGTAGATAAATAGGGACCACTTCGGTGGGAAGGTAACAGCGTTCCGTGTGCCTTGGTGTTTAGTCATGCCAGCCACATGACCACGGAAACATCTTCGGACAGCGCTGGCTCTTCGGCTTTGAAACGGAGATGAGCACTGCAACCCTAGAATCGGACTTGACTGGCTTTCGAGCAAGGGAACCTTTACCTTTAACACCTGCGCAAAAGTCCTTCAGTCCCTGGTATTCAATATATAGATGCTTGGAAGAGTCACCTCAGCTTGTGGGTTCTGTGGGGCAGAACTTGGAACGAATCTTCCAATAATTTTAAAGATAATAAAACATTTTTACTTTTCACTTAACATCATGTAACAAAAACATATGATCTTATAAAGTCCAAACAATTAACTTTCCCCTCCTTCACAGTTTGTCACCCCCGAAGCCCATCTCTTTCCTCTTGTTGGTGGCCCAAGAAGTCTCCAGCTGAACACTCTGTGCTCAGGCTTCCATGATGAAGGTCCCCAATGAACTCCCCATTAGATAGCACAGCCCTTGAAACCATGAGAACCCTTGGGAAGGTCTGCGTGACCACTGATTGTTCATGTTATCATAGTATTTGCATATCTCCTCTCGAGGGCCAGTTGGCTGCATCTCCCCCAACATACGCATAGAAAAATTCTGCTGGTGGTGGTAACTAACTACTGTTAGCTATAATAAATAAATGAATGAAATATTCCCTCAGTGGCTTAGGAGCCACATGCACCCCTTTGACTTGCCGTCTGTGGCTCTTCTGAGCACTGTTCCCTGGTGTGGCACTTGCCCCCTGCTTCAGGAGACTGGGCAAGGCCCTTACCCAGAGGGAACTGTAGTTGGTAGTTGGTTCCCACCTTGAAACAGCTGCCACCAAAGGGACAGAAAAGCTATGAGCTTCTCTGAGATGTAGGCCTCATGCTAGGGATGGAAATAAGTGTGGCTCTTTGGGCTAACAGCAATTGTGAATGTGGCTCTTAACAGGCTGCAGAGTGGCTACAGCTGCTGTATCCTGAGAGGTAGTGCTGGTACACCCTGGGGCCAAACAAGGAAGGATTCTTGTCTCAGATATATGTGGGTGGCCGCATCTGGAAACACAAGTATGCAGTACGTCAACTTTTGATCTGCTTCAGCAGAGCCTTTCTTCTTATGAATGATGTAAAGCTGCCTTGGGTCCCCATTGGGGAGAAAGGCAGGGAACAAATGAATTAGATAAGTAAATAAATACTATGATAATGTTGCTTCTGTGCCGCATCCATTCCTTTGTGTCCCACCAAGTTGTGCTGGTTATTCTTTGTTTACTTCTTCCAGGCGTTCTCTGGAATCTGTCCTCTTGTGATGCATTAAAGATGCCAATCATCCAGGATGCCCTTGCGGTACTGACCAATGCGGTGATCATTCCTCATTCAGGATGGGAGAACTCCCCTCTCCAGGAGGACCACAAAATTCAGCTTCATTCATCACAGGTGCTGCGCAATGCCACTGGGTGCCTAAGGTGAGATTGGACATCAACCACTCAAGGTGTTCTCCTTTTCCATTCTACTTTCTGTGCCTAGGTTTCCAAGGTGTTGAACTGAACAATGCTTTGCAGAGCATTGTAAACATCACAGGTGTGTGAAGAGCTTCTATACATTGAACCTGAGTTTTATGGAATGGCTTTGCATTACATTGTGCTCTTCTCAGGCTTTTAAAAGAACTCAACCAATATTTATGACATCGTCAATGTCATCTATATATTAATAGCAAAGTTGGCCAAATTTGAGGATACTTAAATCCGGTGACCGGAGCAGTGAGTGGGCAAGACATATCTTTCTACAAATCTGTAAAGTGCCCCAGGTTTGCTGGAAAATGTGAACTCTAAAACACACACACACACACACACTGGGGGGTTTAAAAACGCCCCAAATGATAAAAGGAGTGCCTGTTGCTATAAGCAAGATTCCTTCAATGGCCATTGCTAGACAACCACAGCATTCCAGGCTGTGTTTCTATGAGTAAAAAGGCAGGGGGAGAAGGCCTTTTTGACCTTTGAGGGAGGACTCATTGGGGCTATGGGTTGAGGACTAGGGTTGTCAGCTCCAGGTTGGGAAATTCCTAGGGCTTTTGTGGTGGAGTCTGAAGAGGGGAGGGTTAGGGGAGGGGAAGGAGAGAGGCCTCAACTGGATATAATGCCACAACCCACTCTTCAAAGCAGCCATTTTCTCCAGGGGGTCAGATCTGTGTTGCCTGGCATTGAGTTGTAATTCTGGGAGATCTGGAAGAGGAAGCGGTGGCACAGGCGGTTAAACGCCTGCTAATAATAACATCCACGAACAGCTGTTACAGCTGTTCGAAACCCGCCGCGGCCAGAGTGAGCACCTGACCCTTGTCCCAGCTCCTGCTAACCCAGAGGTTCGAAAGCGCCAACTAACATCAAAAATGTGCAAGTAGATAAATGGGAACCTACCTTAGAAGGTAGACACCAAGAACCAGACGAATGAACAACTCCAGCCAAAAACCACCCCAGCTCAGGGCCAACCCAATACCGACCATTTGGCATCAAAGTGTTTGGGCTCCACGTTGAAACCGAACCCCTGAACCCCTGCAAAGAAACACAGGGAGGCTAAAAGCAACAAGGCAGGCAAGGTTTCTAAGCCCAAGTCTGGACCAAAGCCTCAGCCTGAGTGTCCCCATCACGACTCTTCTGGCTTGTCACTTACCAACCCAAGGGGACACTCAACTAAAAGCCTGGCGGAAGAGCTCCGTCTTCCAGCCCCTGTGGAACTGTAACAGGTCCCACAGGGCCCCGATCTCATAAGGTAGCTCATTCCACCAGGCGGGGGCCAGGGCCAAAAAAGCCCTGGCCCTAGCTGAGGCAAGTCAGACAGCCCTAGGGCCAGGGACCTCCAAGATATGCTGGTCCATAGAACACAGTGTTCTGTGGGGCTCACATGGGGAGAGGTGGTCTCCATAGAGGGCTTTAAAGGTAAGCACCAGCACCTGGAAACAGATCCAGAATTCAATAGGCGGATGTGTGCTCGCACGGACAACGACATCAGTATCCGCGCCACCGCGTTCTGCACCGGCTGCAACTTCTGGAGCAGAGTCAAGGGCAGCCCCACGTAGAGAGAATTACAATAGTCTGGAAGTGACCATTGCATGGGTCACTGCAGCCAGGTCATCGGGGGGGTGGGTGAGGTATTTGGCCAACTGTCTAATCTACATCCAGGAAGACCCCCAGGCTCTTTGCCTTTGGATTTGGAACCTGTAAATGGAAATAAGGCTTGTTTGAAAAGAAGTTTATTAACAGAATGTCAGCAAATAAGTACCAACAAATGGAATTAATGCTTACAGCAGCAGATAAGGATTACAAAAAACCGAAATGCTAACCAACAGAGATTCTATGGCTTGGCTCTATGACTGGGCTTTGCATGCCTCCAGTGTGACTCTCTGGCTCCTGTTTGGCTCTTTCTGGCTCTTAGGCAAGGGAGGGGTTTTCATCATTTCCTAATCAAGGCCTTCCCAGTGTTGGCTGATTAGTCTCTGCAATCGCCTCTGTTGCTTGTGCTTGTTAAAGGCAGATGCATCCAAATGCAAAGTCGGAAAACATGTAGGTGCCATGCTCAAGGGACCCTGAAGTTGAACATCTCCGCAGGGAGTTCAGAGGCGAGGCTGAAGAGATCAGACAAGAGATGCAAAACATGATGCTGGATATCCCGGGCATCATCATGGATGCCATCCAGCAAGAGTTCGGGAATCGTGGACGGGCCCAAGATGGAGCTGGAGGGGCACTGCCAGCCCCTCCGCAGATGCCCCCCCGCCTCTTCATCTGGCTGGGCCACCTGCAGCCCTGGCAACTCTGGAGCGGCCCCGCGGTGCCCTGGAAGCAACGTTTGACAGCACCCTGGAGAAGCTGGTGTATTACCTGCTGCAGGTGTTCAAGTTCTTACACGATTGGGTCCTTACAGGGACACCGATGAGAGCACACATTCAACTGGCTTCCGGTTTGTGGCACGCCATCTTCAGAGGACTCCCGGGCAATCTCCCAGCGGGAGGATCGGAACAACCCGACCTCCCAAAGAGTTGTCTCGGAGGGACACTCTTCCGGGGAGCTTGAATTGGGTGCTCTGGGGTGCGGCAGCACCCCAGTAGACCCCTTTTCGCTCCATAGCAGGGACCAGGAAGGAAGTGGTCGTGGGCAGCTGCTAAGGCACAATCGACCAATTTCTGGAGCTGTACTCCAACTTAAAATTCTCTACTATCAACTTTTATTTTCCATTGTCTTGCCGTGAGTAACCCTTTCTGTGACATTTGTAATTTGTAAAGTAGTGAGCAGCATTGGGATTTCATTTAAAATTTAAAGATCTGAGAGAGAGAGAGAGAGGGGGGGGGCGGGGGGTGGAAAATCCCCCCCCCTTTTTTTTTCCAGCTTGGAAATGCAAGCAGGCACTGGAACTGGCAAAGGAAGGAAACTTGTTTGAATACATCTGGAAAGTCTGTTCCTTTTTCTTTTTATGGTGGAAAGATTGTTTCTTCTTGTTTCGTTTTAGAAGATTATTGGCTTTGATATCTGATAGCAACTAACTGAGATCTGTGAAATGGTTGCTTACTTGTTTACAGTGGCTTAATTGGTACATTGATCTTGTGGATTATTTTGGCTGGAAAAACTGCTCTTTTCTCTTTGGAAAGCTGGCTGGCTTGGGCATTGGTTATTGATTAACTGATACTATACAAGGATAAGTATCTGGATGTAGTGGATTAATTTTTTTTTACCCTGATTTGGTGGATTACCCTGGTTTTCTATTTGGGTCTGATTTTTTTTTTCTGTGCTCCATGGATGAAAGTGCTTATTGGAATACCAGTCAATATTTTTTTCTTTATGGTCTTTTATTGCTCTTTCACTGGAATGCTCAATGGATTAGGGCTTGGAAGAAGCCTGAAGTTTTAAGAATTTTTAACAAGAAATTAATAGCTTTAGAAGTATAACCCCCTTCTTGTGGAATACAACTATATACTTGGTTGGGTTTGTTTGTTTGTTTCTTCCCTTCCCATGGGATTTTTAAAACCTTATACTCATTGGAGTATAATCTTTTCCTTGTGGAGTTATAAATTTATTTTTCTGACAACTTCTACAATTAGAATAAATTTGGAGTGTTAAAATTTTATTCTGACATTTGTTATTTGAAGTGGAACCATTTGATAGGTTTTTTTCTTTAATCTGTGGGAAAAGAAGTGGGGGAAAGAGAGGGAATTGGAAAAAGGTGACCTGTGTTGCTGTTTTCATGACTGCTGTTATTATGAGAAGCATGTGACTGGGACTGCCTGTACTAAAATATAGAGCGACATTGTTTAGGCTGTGTAAGCACTTTTTAATAATGATAAGAAGGAACTGTGTTTGGTGAAACTCTGGTGTGCGGTTAAATTGTTTGGGAACATTCAATACATTGAGAGGTTTTTGAAGTAATACTGAAACAATTTTTGTATGTATTGGTGTTGACAGTGGAAAATGTCTCATGGTTCAGCTAGACCCTCACCTCAAAATTTGGGCAAGATGCCAAATCAAGAATTGCAGGCCATGATTAAGGATGCAGTAAACAAAGCAATAGAAAGTGCAACCCCACAGGCTATAACCAACGCACTTCCTGTGGTGACTGAGCCCTTACGAGCAAAATGTGATGCCTTGGCGTTGCAGGTGACATCCTAAATGCAGGAATACAAGCAGCAGGTCTTGGAGAACATGCAACAAATAACCACATTAAAACAATCTACTACACAGCTGCAGGAGAAGGCAGAAGAGACAGACCAGAGATTCCAAATCATGGAAATCTAGCAAGACCTTCTAGAGGACTCCTTGATTAGACTTGCATTGGACAAAGCTTCTTATATCTTGAGATTCCAGAATATTCCAGAGGACAAAAATGAAGATGTCAAAGAAAAAATGACAAAAATCTTGGCAACGTATTTGGAAGAGGAGAGTACTCAAGATGAGATTGACATGGTTTATAGAATGAATTCGGCGTATGTGAGAAGAAATAAAATCCCCAGAGAGATCATGTGAGATTCCACAAAAAGATCATGAGAGACACTATACTAAGGACTGCAAATAAAAAGGTTATATATGCAAGAGACAGAAATTCCAATTTTGAAGGAAATTCCATGGAGAGAGAGAGAAAAGAGAAAAGACTACTCCCAACTGGCAAGCCTATTAAGAGATAACGGAATAACTTATAGATGGTTGCTCCCTGAAGGTATTTTTTTTACCTTTCAAAGTAAAGGATACAGAATAACCTCAATATTCAAAGTAGAAGATTTTTTTTAAAAAATCATGGAGCAGATTTGGGGGATGAAGAAGAAAAAGAGGAAGAAGAAGACCAACAGGATAAGGGTGCAGCTGGTCCCAAAGTGGAGGGAAAAAAAGAAAAGGCACAAGGAAATACCACGGGTTATTATGACAAGACTACAAGAAAAGTATAGAACCGGAACCACAGGAAAAAAAGATACCAAAGATGGATAGGA